CACCCCTGGGTTTTCCTTACTTTACAGGCTATGCCCAGGAGTGGAGAAGCCATGCCGCCCCCACCCCAACTGACCCCCACACTCTGACTCCCACACTCTTGGCCACCACTGCTGGTGGTGATCCTCCTGCCTCAGCCTCCTGAGTGCTGGGATGACAGGAATGTACCACCACACCCATCTCAGACTTTTCTGAAAAAAGACTTAAAGGAAGGAAGAATTGGGTGAAAAGCAAGCACCCATGAGGAAGTCCGAGCCCTGGATAAACATGGAGTGTATCTAGCCAGAGGCTCTGAGACCTGGCCCAGAAGGAGAAGGCCATCTCAGCTGGCCAAGGCCTGAAGGACACAAAGTGGCACCACGGTGCTGCTGGACAGTTCACGGCCGGAGTGATGGCCACTTTCCTGGAACAGGGTCTCTTGAGCCCTGAGGAGGGGGTGGGTGAAGGGCTCCACACAAGGAAGACCCTCGTGGCCCTCGGTGCAGAGCCACGGAGCTGGGTGAGGCTGGCGCATCAGAGATCCCGCCCACTCCTGGGCACAGGGCCGTAGTTGGCACTGGCTGCCATGGCAGGGCCATCGAAGCCGTGGTTGATGTAGGTATTGGTGGCAGCACTGGCATCCAGTGGCTGCTTCTTGCAGGTCTCCGGGGCTGTGGCCATGCCCTGCACTCGCTCTTTCTCCAACACCAGAGCAGGGTTGACGTCAGGCCCTGCAAAGAGATGGGAGGGAGGCCACGGTTGGGGGCATGCAGAGGCGCAGGGGGTGCAGAGCCCGTGAGGGCATCAGGGAGCAGGCTGAGCCCCAACATCATCTGCGCCTCCCACAGTCACTGAAGCCGACATTTACTCAGGAAGCCCCGAGACCAAGCCGTCCTTTCTTGCGGACAACCCAGGCCAATACCGCAGCCACTCTCCTGCACCTTCCTTCCTCTGAGCTAACACTCCGGGCCATGAGGTCCCCATGTGGGTCTGGACTTGCTGCACGCTTTTCTAGGTCACTGCCTATGTGGCCTAAACTTCTGTGGGATCCTGATGACCAGAACTTGTAGGGGTGAAGCTCTGTGAGCCCCTTGCCACCGCCCAGCCCAGGGACCAGGCCACCACGACCTTCACCATCCTGGTCCTTGGGAGGCCCCCACAGCTGTGGCTCCTTGCTGCCCTTGCACCTCCCCACCATCCCCCCCAAAAGCCTTTGAAGAGGGCCAGGAAATGCCTGTAGGAGGGTGCAGTGTCACAGCTAGGGATGCTGGAACTGTGCAGCCTACAGCCCTGCTTTCGCTGGATGGAGTCTGAACCCAGGGGAGGTATGTCCACTTCCTCCTCCGTGAAATGGGGCTGGTTATAATACCTACTTCTGGGGGTGACAAGAGAATTGAAGGCACCTGAGCTGAGGCGCAAACACAGCTTTCCCTGAGTGTTTCCCGAAACATTGCTACTAACACAGCCTGGAAGCGGGTTAAAGGGAGCTCCTCCCAGCCTGCCCACCCTGAGAGCCGGAAGCACTCTCATGCTGGGGAATTCTGTTTCCATCCTGTCAGGGGGTGAATTGTAATTATCATGCTCAAACCCAAGGCAAGGAAAATGGGCAACTGCATATGCTGCTGGTACAAAGGGAGTTTTTGTTGTTGTTGTTCGTTGCTTTTTGCAATACTAGGGTTGAATCTAGTACCTCCACCCTGAGCTGCATCCCCAGCACTCACCCACTCCCTTTTTTTTAATTTATTTTTTGAGACAAGGTCTTGCTGTGTAGGTCAAGCTGTCCTCACTACATAGCCCACTCACTATATAGCCCAGGCTGGCCTCAAACTCAAGTCAGTCCTCCTGCATCAGCCTCCTGAGTGCTGAGATTATAGCCATGTGCCACCCCACCCAACCTTTCTTTTTGAGACAAGTTATCACTAAATTGCTTAATTCTCAGGCTCAGCTTGACCTTGCAATTCTCCTGCCTCAGCCTCCCAGAATGCCAAGATAACAGGAGGACGCCTCCATGCCTACCTACTAGCACAAGTTAAAGTAAAGGGTATTAACAACTGGCATTAACAACCCCACATCCGTGGGCTTTGTCAAAGGAAATGTTAGAGGGTATAATCACAGATTCAGCCACAAGGGCACGCACTACAGCACTGGTGATAATAATGGAAAACTGGAAATAGCCTAAAGCAGACGGAAGCTGCTTAAATAAATTGTGGTAGAACATGATAGGATAGTGTTCCAATTCTAACTCACCACTCGATGAGTCATCAAATCGATTTAGTAGACTAATGCCAGTACTGTTCTAGTTAATGATAGACTACAACCAAAACTATCAGCATGCTTCATAGGAAGTAAGGACAAGTATCATCTGTATTTTCTGAACCATTTTGTCTTAGACATGCATGTCTAGCGGGGTATGGTGGCGCACGCCTGTAATTCCAGCACTCGGGAGGCTGAGGCAGGAGGATCACCATGAGCTGGAGGCCAGCCTGGGCTACACAGTGAGTTCAAGGTCACCCTGAACTACCTAGAGAGACTCTGTCTCAAAAAAAAAATCCAAACACAGCGCAGTAACCTCAAATCTGATGACAAAGAAAGGTATTGGCAAACCGCGGAGTGAAAAGAGCAGCTTCCCAGACAGGAAGTGTGAGCCCGCCTTGGCAGTGCAAGTGCACACAGCCTGGCTTTCCTGGGGAGCACACGCTGCTGCGGTTGTCACCGAGCAGCCTGGCGGGAGCAGCCCTGTACTCACCCAGGTAGCTGAGGATGACAGGTAGGAAGACCAGGCCGTGCACCAGGCCCATCGTGGTGATCAAGAGGTTGAGGCGGAAGAAAAAGATCTGGATGAGCTGGGCCTCAGCAAGGCCCAGGATGAGGATGCCCGGCAGGTTGGTCATGGCCACCCCAGCGAATACCTGGAGGGTGACAGCCAGGCGTCAAGCGGGCATAAGGTATCAGGGTGGGCCCAGGTGGCCCACGCCCCGCCACTCACCGCACTGCCCATGGAGATGGTGGCCTCCCTGGCCCTCTCCAGCCGGCTGGGCTTGGTGCTGATGGCAAAGGAGCGGGTGATATGGGACACAAACTCCACCGACATGCCCACCGCCTGCGGGCAGAGGGCAGGATTCAGGGGAGGCCAAAGGCAGAGAAGGGAGGAGAGAAGGACAAGGGAGCTGTCCAGATTCTGGACAGAACCAAGCATGGCTAGGGGCCAGATCCCCCACCCACCACCCTGGCAGGGGCTCGCCTGGTGCCTGGGTCCCTCCCGTTACCGCGACCAGGTTGATGAGGGACACGGCATTGTAGGTGACGTCCCACATGGCCATGAGGCCAATGGTGTCCGTGAGGATCATGATGATGACCAGCAGGTTGAGGAGGCCGGAGCGTGCGTCCAGGCCCAGCAGGAAGTAGCACACGAGGAAGGTGGGCAGGAAGCAGAGCGCGAGCACGAAGATGCCCTCGGGCAGCACCGTCAGGTACTGCTGGTAGAACACGTTGGTGATCCTGCGGGAGGAGGAGGAGGGGCCCTTCAGGATGCCTCACTGCAGAGGAAGAGGCTTGGGGAGGCTTATTTGGGAGGCAGAGCAGCGCAGAAACAGACAGGCTCCAGGCCACCCCTGGAGCCTGCAATCTGAAGCTGTTTCTGACCCTCGAAACCCCTCGAAAGCCGCCACCCTGGCCTCCCCTCCCCAGCCCTCCGGCACAGCCTCCGGCCCTCACGTGTAGGGGAAGACCTCAAAGGCCGGGTCCGTGCCCGGCACCTTCCGCAGCTCGGCTGTGATGTTGCTCGCCAGCAAGCGTGCCGCCTGCAGGGCCTCTGTGTAGTCCAGCGAGTTCTTCAGGGGCTTGTGGTAGGCCATGAACTGGGAGGCTGCCCGGCACATGAGAGAGGGGAGGCCGAAGGTCAGGGCCTGCTGGCGACACCCTCAGAGCATACCACGGACGGTGGCTTGGGCACAGGATGGGGCCGAGCTCAGGGCTCCGCCACCAGCAGTTCAGAAGCCGAGCACACGTTCTGCGAGGGACCTGCGCTTCTGTTTTGCCGCAGCCCAAGGACGCTGCAGGAGGCCCCACCACCACGGAGACTGCGGCCCAAGATTGGCACCTGGAACCACACAGAGCACCCTGGTGCCCCCAAAGCCGTCTCCACCTGGTTTCAAAATATGCATGGGATTGTTTAAATTAACTTCATTAGGGCCGGGGATATAGCTCAGCGGCATAAGCGCTTGCCTGGCAAGCCTGAGGTCATGAGTTTGATTCTCGGTACCAAAAATAAATAAATTAATTAATTAACTTCATTAGTTTTTCAAAGTTGCGTGTTCCTACAGGAGAGGACTAGAAAGGAAGACAGAAAAATGAAAACTGCTCATTTGTCAGCGCCGTGGCTTAGGACAGTAAGTACAGGCTGCAGCCAGCAATTCCCGCTGTGAATTATTTCAGAACGAAGTGAGGGAATCCATCAAAAGCTCTCCTAATTGCCACTGACCCGCAGGCCACCCCTGTGCCAGCTGCACCGGAGTCCCCATGCTGAGCCATAGCTGGCTCCCTCGTGCAGATGGCCATCTGGCCTGCCACCTGCTTCAGGAAACTGACATGTCATGGTCCTTCTCCCTGTCAATCCAACTCCATCTCCCTTGTTACTGCTGGTGGTTGCTAGAGTTCTGCCACTCTAAGGCACCCTCGCCACCTGCCTGGCACTAACAGCTGGGTGGGATTTGGGCATGAATAGACAGGTATGGTGCACACCTATTATCTCAGAGCTCTGGGAGGCTGAGGCAGGAGGATCCAGGTTCCAGCCCAACCTGGGTTACTCAGCAACTCAGCAAGAGCCTGTCTAAAAATAAAGATTTTTTTAAAAGACCAGGGGTGTAGCTCACTGCAAAGGCCCTGGGTTCAATCCCCAATACCACAATACCAACCAGAACAAAAATGATGCGTGCGTGAAAAGGTGCTTAGCCCAGGGCTGGGGTAATGGGTGCTCCCAAGTACGACATCAGCTGCTAAGAAGGTGCCACAAATGTCACTCTGACCTTGGGCTTGAGTGGGAGAAGGGGTTTAGCCTGAAAATGTGGGTTTGGGAAGCCCAGCATCCCCTCACAGAGGATGGAGGGGAGAAGAAACAAGGCGGAGACAGGCTGTTTCCTGGTGACTTCTGGCACTGTGACCCGGGTCCTTCCCCCAAGCAGGGTCTTGCTTACCTATAACCTGTCCATCTGCGCTCAAGTTCACGGAGGTGCTGTATGCTGCCATGCCACTGCAGGGGGGTGCGCAAAGTTAGTGGGAATGAGACCCCCTCCCCCCTGCCCCCACTGCACCCTAGAGAGGCCCCTCCTGACCCCCTACACCTCTGTGGCCGCCTCTCACATCCCACACAGTCACACTCCCCAGAGCATGCCCCTCTCTGAGCCTACCCTTTGGGACAGTTGATGTTGGGCAGGTCACTCAGGAACAAGGGAAGGTACTTGTGGAACTGTTCCACCGTGGGCCTCACAGGCCCTGTCGTGAAGCTCATGCAGTTCTTTAAGCACCTCAAGGCATCTGCAGAGAGGGCGGGGCTCTAGGTAGCTGCCCCACAGGGAAGCAGCTCCTGCCCAGAGCTCCTTCTCCGTCTCTACTCCAGGCCCGGGGCCCCTGGGGATTTGCATCCTGCATCTCTAACTTGGGGAGCTGAAATCCTGGCATTGGCAGGCATGTGGGGAAGACAGGTGTGGAGCACGAAACCTGGGACTGCAGCCCACCTGCAAACACAGCTGCTTCCCTTGCAGCTGGGCACCGGCCTCAGCGATTGCACTCCGAAATCATAAGCACCACGCCCCAGGGAGCAGAAGGGTGTGGCTGCCCAGGCTCCTGAGACCCAGCCTGAGCCCCCGCCCCCACTGGACCTCGCATGGGGTGGGAGGTTGAGAGAGCCTTGCTGCCCTTTTCTCTCTCTTGCCTCAGTTTCCCTCAGCTGCAGTGGGCAGTGAGTCCCAGAGGCCCCACACTTACTCTCAGTTGAGGGGCAGAACTCATCCCTATGGGGACCCGAGGTATAAAGGCGGCAGCAGGAGGATGGGGTCAGCCAGTCGATGAAGTCGTCCACCCAGGAAGAGGCAGGGATGGAAATGTACGACCTGGGGCCAGCAGAGGGGGTGAGGGCCAGGACCACGGACAGCGCAGGGGCCCTCCTGGGCTTAACCCAGGCATCGGCCACAGGTGGAGGAGGCAGAGGCAGGCCTGGCAAGAAGAGGGGCAGTAGGCACTGGGGGATACAGGTGGGTGCAGGCTGGGGGCCAAGGGCACTTACTGGTCAGAGAACTCAGTGGCATACTGGATCTTCTGGGTCATGGAGAAGGGGTCGCAGCCCGCGCTGGAGCAGATGGCATTCATGCCAGCCTCACTGGAGAAGTTGTAGCCCAAGGTGGTGACAAAGTACACTGGGGGCCCCACCTCAAAGTAGCGATTCATAAAAGAGAAGTAGTCGAGCAGGTAGGAGTCCTGGGAGGGAGGAGGACCAGGGAGTCTCAGGAGGCCACAAGCACCCACAGGGCTTACGTCAGCTCATACATAGATGTTAATTCTCCCAAAACAATTCAATATTCAATGTGATCCCTAAAATTCACAAGCATCTGGGTGTAGTGGTGCATGTCTATAATTCCAGCACCCCAAAAGGCTGAGGCAGGCAGATAGCAAGCTCAAGGCCAGTCTGGGCAAGTTAGCGAGATCCTGTATCAAAATTTAAAAAGTAGATATTGAAGTATGGCTTAGTGGTGGAATGCTCACTTAGCATACACAAGCTGCTGGTTCCAATCCTCAGTATCACAAAGAAAAAATAGTTCAAACCAGGCATGGTGATGCATGCCTGTAATCCCAGCATTTGGGAGGCTGAGGCAGGAGGGTCTCTATGGGTTCAAGGCCAGCCTGGGATATATAGTGAGTTCAAGCCCAGCCTGATTCACACAGTGAGACCCTAACTCCAAAAAAAAATTTTAACAAAACAAGCTGGAAAATTCACATTTTCTGATTTGAAAACTTGTCATAAAAGTACAATAATCAAAACAGTGTGGTACCAGCATAAGGACATATAAATCAATGACACAGAAATATAGAGCTCAGAAATAAATACTTACATATATAGTCAAGTTATTTCTTATGAAAGGGTGTTCAAACTACTCAGTGGGGAAAAAATAGACTTTTCACCAAATGCTGCTGGAAAAACTAGATGTCCACATGCAAAGGAATTATGTTTGGGTCTTTACTTCACACCATGCACAAAAGTTAGCTGGAAATGAACCAAGAATTTAAATCAAGACTCAGAGACTCTTATAAGCTATAAACCTCTTAAGAGAAACAGTAAAACTTTAGGACGTTGGCTTTGGCAGTTATTTCTTGGACATGACACCAAAGACACCCTCAACAAAAAAAAAAACAAGGGAGACTGTGTGAATATATTTAAATCTGTGCACAAAAGAACACTGGCCATAGAATAAAAAAGCAACTGTCATGGTTAAATTTTTATCCTTTTTTGAACTGGGAAGCAAACTCAGGACCTTGGGCTTGCCAGGCAGGCACCATGCTGCTGAGCTATACCCCTAGCCCAAATTTTAGATTTTAAAATTGATTTTGTATCAGTTTTAAAATGTCACCTCCAAAGTTCAGAGGCACGGCTTTCAGAAGGTGAATTCATAGTCAATGTGCTGTTGGGAGGTTGGACCTGGTCTGAACACCTAGGTGGTCACTGAGGGTGACTTGTACAGGTGGATTCTTGTCCCTGGCCCCTTTTCTCTCTGCTTCCTGGCTGCCACAACTTGAGCAAGCTTCCTCTACTCAGCTCCCCTACCATGTCATTTCTGCTTTGGAGCCTGCTGACCAGGGACTGAACCCCTTGAAACTGTGAGGCACAATATACCTCTGCTCCTTTGAGGTGTGCATGTTGGTGATTGTCTCCAGTAATGGGAAAGCTGAATAACACAGCAATCCACAGAATGGGAGAAACATCCACAGTTGCAAACCTGACATCTATGATTCACACACATAAAATCCACAAGCTCCACACCTATGATCCCTGAATTCCACACCTGCTAGAGCTGACATATAAACACACACGCACACACACACACATTAAAATGGGAAAAGGAGTTCCATAGACATTTTCCCAAATAAGGTATATGAATGGCCAATAAATACATAAAAAGATGTGAAATAAAATGCAAAATCAACATACAAAAGTCAATAGTTTTCCTATACACCAATAATGAGCTTGCTGAGAAAGAAATCAGGAAAACAGAAGGTAACAGTACGTAATGTAGCAACCATTGTTAATTCCTATCGTTTTGTTTCAAAGTCATGTCATTTTTGTTGTTTTTGCATTGTTTTGATTTTGTCTTCATTGTTGTTTTGTTAGTTTCTTAAATCTTTAAAATAAAAAAGTTTTTAAAAATCCATTCACAATAGCTTCCCAAAAAAGCCTAGGAAGGAATCAATCTAACCAAGGAGGTAAAAGACCTCTATAATGAAAATAACAGAACACTGAAAAGAGAGATTGAAGAAGACATTAGAAAGTGGAAAGACCTCCTTTGTTCGTGGATCAGCAGAACTTATATTATTAAAGTGGGCATATTACCAAAAGCAATCTACAGAGTCAGTGTGATCCCTATTAAAATACCAATAACATTCTTCACAGAACTGGGAAAAATAATCCTAAAATTCATATGGAAACACAAAAGTCCCAGATAACCCAAAGCAATCCTAAAAATAAGAGCAAGACTGGAGGCATCAGAAAACCCAATTTCAAATTATACTTCAAAACCACAGTAACAAAAACAGGGTGGTACTGATGCAAAATAGACCAAAGGGTTTTTGTGACAGGGTCTCATTAGGTAGTGCAGGCTGGCCTTAAACGTACTGCATGGCCCAGGCTGACCTCAAACTCATTTCAATCCTCCCAGCTCAACCACCCAAGTGCAGGATTACAAACATACAGCACCACACCTGGCCAAAATAGACATGTAGACTAATGAAACAGAGCAGAAGACACAGAAACAAACCCACGTACCTACAACCACCTGATTTTGACAAATGGTCAAAAATATATGGTGGAGAAAAGAGAGGCTTTTTAACAAATGGTATCGGGAAATTGGAAATCAACATGTAGAAAATTAAACTAGGTCTTCATCTCTTCCTCTATACTAAAATAAAAATCAAAATGGATCACAGACCTAGACATAAAGCCAGAAATTTTGAAACTGCTGGAAGAAAACATAAAAAGAAATATGTTAAGCCATAGGCACAAAGACTTTCTGAGAAGTGCCAGAATAACGTAGGAATAATATTAAGAATCAACAGATGTAGATGGGACTACATCAAATTAAAAACCTTCTACACAACAAAGGAAACAATTACCAGTAAAGAGGCAACCTACAGAATGAGAGAAAATCTTTGCCAGCTACTCTACTGGTAGAGGATTAATACCTAGAATATATAAAGAACTCAAAAACT